TACCAGCCAAAAGCAATTGATTTGAGATGTCAAACCTGCAGGAATAAACTTTATGAGGATTTTATTCATAATTCCTGTAAATTAACGATCAACAGGCCCAGCAGCTGTAAAACAGGCTGGAAAAGAGAAAGTGAACAAAAACATATTGTTCAGGAAGCAAAAGAATTCGATTTTACTTCGAATTGCTTTTATTGCAGTAAAAATGCGCAGAAAAAAGTAATAATAAAGATGTTTTAATTAAGGCAGTTGGGCACTGGGAAACAAATGAAAATATTTTAGCAACATTAGAGGAGAGAGAAGACAGATTTCCAAAACTTTTTATTAGCGCGGAACCAACACGTTAATTTATTTGCAAAAAAGCCTATTTACCTACTCTCAAAAACGGTGTATCTTAAAACTGTTCCCCCCGTTTTTGCCGCTTTTCGCTTCTGTTTTATCATAAAACAGGCTATGTTCCCTCCAAATTTCAAACCCCTACGACATTTTTTCGCAAAAATAAGAATAAAAAACGAAAAAAACAGTTTTTCCGGTTTTTCTAGGAAAATTGGAGGTTATGTGAAAATAGTGCTGATACAAAAGTTGCTCATTTTTTTAATCTCTATAACTTTTACAAACATTTTTATCTAAAATCAATAGTTTTGCCACAATTTGCAAAATACCACTTTCCACCCTTTTCAACCCCCGTGATTTCACCCGCGGAAAAATTCAGCTGTTTTAATTATTTTTTCCCAATTTATATTCATTTCACCTGCCTTAAAAACCCGGTTTCGCCCGGTAACAAATTTTTTTTCAAAATAAATCATTTTAGCCTGGACTAAATAGATAGAATGTGAACTAAAGACAACTGGCCCACAAATATAAATACAGTGCGATGCGTAATTTGCTGTTTGTTTGATAGAAGCCACGTATCTATTCATTTTTAGTCAGAATTTAGTAGGGTGTCTTTAATACAGAGTTCGATGTGTTGTAGAAGGGAGGGTCGCCCACATTGTAAGCCATAAAAACGCAATAGTTGTAGCGAGACTACAGGGGTTGCCGGAAGGATCAGCTTAGGTAACCCATGCTTTTCACAATGAGGACATTGTGTTTAGTTACTCGCCATGCTTATCCCCTGACTCCGCTCTTGCAACCTGTATTTCATATCTTTCTAGCATTCATGTCGATCGCAGGTCCATCAATGCACGGATAATATCTGAACACAGCCTCCTACGAGAGTCGACCATGTGTTTTCTGCAAGTACGGGCATATTGCTTTGACATGGGCGCTATGTTTACCCTGTATTATATTTTTCGCGTTAAAATCCTAAAACTGAGCATTTTAAGTCTCTGTAGAGATCTGAACACTGAAATAATGTTGAACGCTCCAGCTGAACATGTCATTTCTACACTCAATCCCAAACACCCGCATTGGCGCAAATATTTAATTCAATTCTTTTTGAACTTAGTGTTTGGTTAAAAGAGAAACCAGGTGTACATATAATTTGCATGTCTGAGTGCATACTCTCGGGTGTTAATATAACACCAAACTTGGGTAGAATAAAGCAAACAGTTATACGGTATAACAATGTTGACTGATGTGGAAGTCTGTTTAAGGGCAAAACTCTTACACTAAGCATTCGATGTCTTTTATTTTCGGTCCGTTCGAAGCCTGTTACAAATTGGCTTTGAGGAAGCGCCACTTCCTGTGCAAATATCTGACGAAGCACCTTTTTTTCCCAGAGAATAATTTAATGTTTGGACATAATCCGAAAGTTCGGGTCGTACAGCTGACCTGTCCATCATTTCTATCACGCTATAAAATCACATCGGCCAACTCGCAGGTACAAATACGTACCTGGAAGGATACTTATTTAGTTATTCAATTTATTTATATTAAACCCGCCTAATTGAAGTAGCATCTAAATTTAAAAGAAGTCAAATATGAAAAGTGGGTTGGCTCGTACCCCCACGTAGGGTTTGGCAACAAGAACTTGTTAAAAAGTCCAGGCGGAACTCGGTTGATTTTGAATGTGTTACCAGATCGAATTTACTTCAGATGTAAATTGCGGAATCAGCTCATTTAACATAGTATTGTAACGAGACTGAAGGGGTGTTAATTGGCACTCTTACTTCTTACACAATAACTTGACTTTTAAGCAACAAACTGTATTATTGCTTTTCAAATAAGTTTATTACGGTTAAATTCAATGTGATTACGATTTGACATGCTGCTTCAATAGCCAGTCACATGTGTTTCGGTAGGAACGGATTATTACAGTAAATTTGCATATGAGATGACCAAAGCCCTATATTAAATGCTTGTCATTGCTTATACAACATTTCATCTTTCTACTATACACAAAATACCTGTCGATGTAGGTAGTAAAATGTGGTTCGTCAACACCCGGTTTGAATTAATTAACTTTTTCCTGTTTTTGTTTGCATATGGCGGGAAACCTATGTCATTTGTACCATGGGACTTAGTTCAATCATTTTATATAGGCCATTAGGATCATTAATAACCTTAAATATAGAGAGCAATGCAAAGACGCTTTTGCATCGCTCCGTTAATTAACATATCCTTGCTTGTATATACTGGAGTGCCTTCTGTACATAAGAGCAAACATCGAAAATTTTGAGGTTCACTCTACGTGCCATAAGTATTATCAGACCCGTAATAGGGATAACGCATATCCTTTCCTACCATTTGTGAGGCTGGACAGGACTATATTTGCGTGTAACTATTATTGCATACATTTATACAACGTCCTACCTTCTCAAATTATCATTATTATCATTATCATATGAAATGTTTCTAAATTAATTGTTCCGCTATCATGTTGCATTGTTTAACCTGTAGCCAAGAAAAGTAAATGGGTTTTAAGGAATAAATTAGCACCAAAAATAGTACAAAAACGGGTACTTTCACCACTTACCATTTTTTATTTAATGGAAATGGTTTTTTTTAAAATTTATTATTGTGTCTCGACAGCAAGGCCATTGACACGTATATAGCGGGTACAGGTAAATACAGTGGATTTATATCAGATGCACTTGTACAAGTTTGTTGATTTCTGAAAGTTTATTACATCGTAGATCTGGTTGCTTAGGATGCTCTGGAGTGACTCACTAAGGTGGTGGTCCAGTAGCGGCGACATTCTAACAGAACATGGCTTATTGTTAATCTGGTGCTGCAGTGTTCGCAGACCGGAGGATTTTCGGATGCCATTAGGTAACCATGCGAGAGGTGAGAGTGGCCTATTCTGAGTCTTCTTATGACGATTTTGTCTCTTCTTGACATTGGTGGTATTTTGGTAGGAGTTACGTTGGCTTGGATTTGGTGCAGTTTCGTGTTTAGCCTATTCCAGTGCTGCTGCCATGTTTTTAGGCTGTC